AAGACTGGAGATGAGAGATGAATAGAAAACTTGGTCTACAAAAATTGAGATAAAAACATGCTGTTTGCATCTGCATGTGCCTTCTGAAGTGTCACATTAGAAATGGGTGATGGAAACTGTAAAATTCAAAATAAATTCCTAAAGTTTGACACTTGCTTGTGGTTGTTTTTGATTTTTCTGAAAAACAGTTAGTGCATTAAAGGGAAATGGAAACACATCGTCCGTACCTCACCACAGGCACAACATTTCTAAGTTCAGATCTCAAATTCAACCTGGCTGTAATAAATCTGATGAAATCACAATTTGAAACGTCTGGTTGATTCGCTCCAAACCAGCAGATGGAAATATGCCTAATTTGTTTTTATTTTTCATTTTTGCCACATTTTGAAAATTTGATGAACCTTAACACGACAATAGGATGGAAACATATGTAATGATTTGGACTGAGAATGTAAATTTGCTCTCCTTTCTTCGCTGCTTAGCCTGTTAGTATCAGAACAAGGTCAGATTGATCCTCTGGTCTAGCCTTGAGTCATGAGCCCTCCACTTCTGACTTTACATCATTTTTATGACGTCTAATAATTATTTGGTGCTGTGCACTCTGGCCCAACACCTCAACTTTCTTCTTTAGTTTCATAAATTCTAGGCACCACATAGAAAGTATCACACCGTGGCTCAATTCTCAGCTAATGATTTCTGCTGTTTCCAGAGGCTATAAAAGGAAAATGAGGATGAGCTTTAAACAAAGCTTTGGGTAACCTGGTGGTCAGCTGCTAAACTGTAAATAGTTAAGTAAAATGGTGAGTGAATGAGACATACTGGCCAGCATCAGCAGTGTATTGGGTAGCCAGGAATGTGGAGGTGCTATCCCTGTGCTGTTATCTGGTGCTGCGTTGTCAGCAGGACGTTTCCACCACAGACTACAAAACACCAGGAGCTTAGTGTGTTTGGATGGTTAGGAGTTTCCAGTAAATGCAGTTCTTCCAGAAAATAAAGTTCACTTATGCTTGTTTGAGAGCTGCAAACCACACCAACAATAAGAGCATTTCACACTAGAGGACTTTAGGCCACTGCTTCATTTTAAAGTCCATATTTATATTAGTTTATTTATTTTAATACGATTATCTCCCTATATAATAATAGCTTCTTTTTCATCTGTTGTTTGACTAACTGCACATTTTATTCCCAGTTTACCCAGACTGCAGTAGTGCTGGTATTAGTCCTGCTTTTCAGACTACGGCTAGTTTAACGTGGTGGATGTGTCTGTGTGAAGGACCTGGGAGGTGCAGTAAACATAGCATCTCTTTCTGCCAGTGTTTGCTTGTGTATGTGTGTGCTCTGCTATGTGCCAACATCAAATGAATTTTCGGATATCAGTGTGTTTTCATCAGTCCCACACTGACAAGCTCTATTAAAAACACCCTTGGACTCATTCTCATCACAGTTTGACAGGAGTAATTCCCATGGCAAGCAGGATGACTAGATGGAAGTGAATGGAGTTCACATCGATTCAATGTTAAAGTCTATTTTTTCCCCCTTTTTGTTTGTTTTATTCACTACATAAGGCCTGGGATAATATACAAGTTCTCCACTAGTTAATAGTAGGCACAGAAGATATTTTACAGCACCAAATGGAATGAGCTAAGCAGTATTTTCTTTTGTTCTCTGAGGCAGACATTTTAGTGAGCTAACTGCAGGCGTGAAGGTGTTGTCACGGAGGCTTGAATCTTGCTGTATCAGGTCGTTTGTTTAGGTTGCAATCTGTCCTGTACTTAAAACTACTGCCTGAAGGAAAATCAATCTGCCTGTAAAGTCGATTCAAATTACCACTTTCCCCGCATGTCGTACGTATGCATCATTATGTATGTGCATGCTTATTACCGCCGCCATATGTCGGCTCAAACGCCCTCCCTGATGAGTGCGACTGTCTTCCTGTTGTTGCTGGTGACTTGATCAGTGCAGCAGAGTTTTCCAGAAGCACAGAACTGTTTTCTTTTCATTAACCATCTGCTCTGTGTGGAATCACATCCATGCCGAGCAACAGTTAGAGGAGCTGTCAGTCTGGGAGTGTGTTGCTTAAATCCCTCCTTTACGCCATCAGTTCCCATAAAAAGAAAGAAAAACACTTGTAATGTTGTATGACATACCAGGAACCTGAATCTGATGGTTCTGAGCAGCTTTTCCTACAGCAGTCCTGCTTTCCACGGTCAAAACATTATAGTCACAAAAATGTCATATAACACTGACATGAAAAACCATTTCCACCATGACAGAAAAGATACAAATCCAACAGGAAGACAAAAGTTTTAAGGTCATAATTATGAGATGGTAAATATAGTTTAAAAGTCATCACTTCGAGTTTTAAACTCCTAATATCGGAATAAATGTAAGAACATCAAGTTTGATGTCATAATTATGAGAATAACAGTCACCATTTGCAGTCATGTTTACGAGAATAAGTCATAATTATGAGAAAAAAATATTTATAGTTTAAAGTTTTAATATCATCATTATGAGTCTTAGAGTCACAACTACAAGAATAAAGGTAATAATTTAAGGTTTAAAGATATAATTAACTCATTTATTAAAATAAGTCATAGTATTGAGTGTTTTTAGTCATTACTGGTTTCACATAATTATAAGTTTTAATTGTCATTACAAGAGTAGGCAATAATTTAGTTTTAGTTATGATTTCAAGAATAAATCATAATTATGAAAATAACTGTTTTGAATTCAATTTGAAATACATGACTATAAGTTTTAACATCATAATTATTTAATAAAAATAATCCTTTAAATTTTAAAGTCATATTATGTGAATGAAAGTCAAATATGAGTTTTGAAGTCATAATAGTAATTAAGAGAATAAAGTTTATGATTCAGTGTTTTAAATCATGCATTTTAAGTCTATTACTGAAATAAGCATAATTTTAAATTAAATTCATCATGAAAATGAATGTAGAATAATAATAATAATAATAATAATAATAATAATAATAATAATAATAATAATAATAATAATAATAATAATAATCAGAACTTTAAAACTCAAAATGTAATAAGTTAATATTGTAATTACTAATTTGTGTTGGGCTTTTATTGTCTTTCTTTGTGTTGAAATTTTATTGTTTAATATTTTTATGTGACACATTCAAATTTTTTTAAAGTCAATTTGAATTTCTCTTAATTTCTACTGAAAAACAATTCATACCGTATCTTTTTTTATATTTATGTTATTTCCATCAAATTGTCAGAATCAGGAACAAAAGGAAAACAATATAAAAAAAAAACTCCAGATGTAATCAGTTAAAATGACTGGGTTCTGTAAAACATATTTGGTTGCAAAATCTTTGACTAAAATAACAGTTTATAAGAGTGACAGTCAGTTAATGTTCTTTCATTGTCCCCAGTGTGTGCAGCCTGCATCCGCCCTTCAGGTTCTTAACCTGCTGACCTTTGGTTCTTAACCCAAGATCTTTGTCTCAAATTGTGTTTCCTGGCTCTGGGTCAGTCAGTCAGTCAGTCATTTAACATAGAAAATGTCTTGATGACCCTTTGAATTCACATTTCCTTTCACTTATGTTGCCTTCAGTGCCAGTCACGTTGCAGAGTTGCAACACAGGGTAATAATAATTATCCCAAATTATAATTATAATCAAACTACAATGTCTTAAAAGTTCTTTTCACAGAGACATAACCAGATCTTGTGTTGGTTTCTTTACAGAGGATCAACCCAATATCACTTGAGTGTATCTACAGTTTAAATGATGTTTTTTCTTCTTTTTTTTTCCTGTCAAACAAAGTCTAAATTAGGAAAATGAACATTTCAAACACAGCAAATACAATACATATTAATGAAGATATTTAGTGTGACAATGATCATTAATTGGCACAACTGGAGTAACCAGGTCAAGATGTCACATGAGTTTGTGGTATCTTGCTATGATGCAGAGAAGCAGCCAACCTAGAAAGGTTTCCAGGTTCTGGTGATTTGCTGAATGGATAATTAGATTTTCTTTTTTTTAAGTGACGTTATCAGTAATGCACCCCTTACCTGTTGTAGACAGATGTCATAGTTGTGAGTTTGTAGAAAAACCTCAGAGTTTGTCATGGTGGAAACCCATGTAAGAATTTTAAGAAACTGAAAATGTGCAAAGCCCATGAATACAAGGGTTTTGTTTATTTGAGTCAAACACACTATAAAAAGCTGAGACTGGAAACTTCAATATCTTTCATTAGGTTATTTTTCCATAGCTCAACACAAATGAGTGCATAAATGTGAGATAGAAGCAACATTATACACAGTTTCAAAATTCACATAAAGAAAAAATGCAATGCAATTTAACTTTTTTGTCAGAGGGCCCAAGATTCCTGGCAGCGCCCTAGGATGTGAACAATCACATGAATAATATTAACATTTCAACCTCATCATCTATCAGCCAATCAGAGGAGATGCCTGCATCTCATTCAGGCATTGGAGCGACAAACCCCGCCTACTGAGGAGTGGCTATGTATGAGGCGTTTTGGGGAAATTTGTAGCTGGCTATTTTAAAAAGAGGAGCTATGAATTCAACATGTTGGAATAACTTTTTATGAACTGTGAAAAAAACAAAAATAAACCATCCTCCTCCTACAACATCCTGTCGTCTTCTTCAATGTTTCCACCAGTAGTAACATCTTGTTGTTGATCACATGAGACCTACGATGCAAAGAAGTTACAGCTATTGCATTTTGTAGCTTTGCAAAATGCATCTAATTCAATACAGCTGGCAAACCAACTCATCAACCCCAAACACTTTTTTCGAAAAACATGAGTTTTGAAATTATTGTGTTTCCATTAATTTTCATAATTTAAATTTGCACAATTTTAAGTACAATGGAAATGTAGCTAGTGTCTCATATTCTGCTGCATACAGAAATGGAAAAAAGAGAGAGAAAAACAGCACAAAAACCTTCACGATGTAAAAGAAAAGATAAGAAGAAGAACAGCAGACCCGGGGTAAAGAAAGGTCAGCTTGTACATTTATTTTATTATTCACAGGTGAATACAGCAGAGGCATGGAGTGCTTCATATTCCCTCTGGGCACATTCAGTGGGACAAAATGACACCGGATGATCGGAAATTGAAATATTTCATGCGAGGCCACATATATACTCACTGAGATACCAAGTTTTTAAAACAACACAGCTTGGAAACCCTCTGATCTGTAGCAACCAGGGCCAGCGCTTCCATCTCTTTTTTGCAGTCTTCTCCCTATGTGTGTGCCAGAGGGTCTGTTGAGGTTTGTGTGCTTATGAAACAGTCATCAACAGTTTGAACAGGCAAAATAAAGCACAGGCCCGGCAGAGCATAAGAAAATAACACACTAACATGGAACAGAGCGGGAGAGGCCGTCCTGTGGGCTCCGACTCCCTCGTACTGAATACTGACATGCTGTAGACAGGAAGCCGGGGGCAGTGGGATGGAGGTGGCAGCGGTCAATGTTCTTCAAAAGCATTTAGATGGAACAGTTTCTGGCTTCAGTGTAGAATTAGCAAAGGTTAACAGGTGACAGACTCAAACAGGGGTGACGGGTGAGGGGAGGTGGGGATTTGTCCGTCTCTACAGGGTTCCCCTCCAGTGACTGTCTCTGTTTGGGGGAGACGACTTTTGAAACTGCAGCCGCTCACTCATGAAAGCCAGCCTCATTTCCAAGTCTGTGACTGTTTGAGCCCATGTTTGTGCTCTCTTGCTTGGTGTGTGTGCATGTGTGTGTGTCATCGCCTCAATCTCCGCAGCGATGATGTCCCATTCAGCCAGGCACCTGCCGGGATAAGAGCTGGGGGAGGAGGAGGAACGGGTTTCACTCAGTGAGTCAAATCGGGGAGGGAAAAACATGAAAACGGATGGCGTGCCCCACCAGGTGCTGCTGGATTGAAAAGAATAAGACTTCCGAAGATCATTCAGCTCCATTTACCTTTTGGGATCACCCGGGGTGCAGCAGCCTAGGTGAGCCACGGGTATCCATGGCAACGAATTGCAGACAGTAAAAGGATTGTGCATCTGTTACGGCTGAAAAAAACAAAACAACAACATTCAGCTAAAGAGACAAAAAAACACCACGCAGATATCTCAAATAGCGATCCATGTGGGACGAAGGACAGAGTCTTTCTGAGAGTTCAGGAGGCGTGTGAGGGCCTCCAGCTCCACGTCTTGTCCTGCACCGTCTCTTTAAATGTTCAAAGCTGATCCCACTCAGAGTCAGCATGAGATGACTGGAGACTCCGTTAGCAGCATCAATATTCTCATATAGGTGTGAGGATATATGAATATACTACCAGAAATGCTAATGAATGAAGGGTAAAATAACAACATACAGCACACAATCCACTTTTTCTTTTTTTTTTTTACACAAATTGTTGTCTGAATTGATAATAGACGGTGCTTGATAGATCCGTTAACTGTTGTTACTGAACCAAACCTGTGCATGTCGAAGCATTTCATACATTAAGAACCGAGCCGGAACAGAACGGTAACACACTGATCAAAGACTTAACACAAAAAAAACACTTCATTCATAACAAATACAGGTCACGATACATTCTGGGGTTTACTGCTACAGTCTTGCTACAGTATGAGCAGAAGTAATTCATAATAACAAGCTTTAAGGTTGTTTTTTACATCCCTCTGAAGTTTCATCTCATTTATTTAAGGCGCTAATTCTGACTTGTCTCCACAGTGGTTGTTACATGGAGAAGTGGTGCTACATTCAGTGCTAGCTGACTGCGGCTAACTGACACCACAGGAAAAAAACCCATCAAAAAATAACACTGGATTTGAATTTGATTTGAGTCAATATAAATTCAATCAAAGTTCAAAAAAAGGGGAAAAAACGTGAGCGGAAACAAAGTTGATGTGTACAGTGTTCAACCACTTCAAAATAAGAGTATGAGTGTAAATATCCAACTATTTCAAGATTTTTTAACTTGCTGTCCTTTATTCAAATGAAATATTACAAAAGAGTCCAGTAAATCAGAGTTTTAGGATCTATATGGAAACATTTAGATTGTAAAATCTAAATGTTTCCATATACATTTGTGTTTAGATGCACTAAACATTTTCAAAGCTAAAAGCATTGAAGTGCTAAACAAGAAATTAGCTCCACTAGGAGCACATTGTTGGATTAGTGGAAGTTCACCCACTAATGGGTATTATTACTGGTAAATTTTATAATTTTTTTTGTATGTATTTTAAATCTACTTCAACTCAATTTACAAAGATCGGCCAAAGAAAAACCAAAAACATAAAATGTTATGAGACTAGTAAAATATAATGCTTTGTGTAATGCCCAAAATAGTAAACGATGTCAAAGTTTATTTGGGTTTTTTAAAATAAATTTACAAATATACTTTTGTAATAATAGATAAATAACATCTTTAATTCCTGTTCTCCACAGGAGATGATCTGACGCAGGACAAAACTTCACCGCGGCAACTAAAGTAAAAAATAAAGCAATCAAATCAGCAATGCTGAGGGTGTTTTATTGTAATGTAATTTACAGTATATTAGTGTCATAAGTTTAGTTGTGTAGCAGCTCTGTACATGAGCAATCACATAAGTGCCTTAAAAAAATGCTCTGACTTCCAGAGGGAACTCCTCTCTCAAATCCAGAGGGTTAAAGCTGCAGGACTGTGTGTCTGTGATTCTGTCTTTATTCATATGAATGATTCAGAAATCACAGTAAGTATGTTTTTGTGGATGTGAAATCAAAAAGGAAGGACGCAGTCTTTGTGTGTGTGTGTGTGTGGGTGTGTGTGTGTGTGTGTATGGATGACAGTTTGTGTGTCTTCTAGCACTGATGCGTCAGGACCTACAGAGTGTGAAATGGAGCAGGGAGGTTCAGACTTCAGCCGCAACTCATTGCTACACACACTCACACGCACAATCTGTTTCTGCCTTGATTTTCTACTCTTTCTCTGTTTTCCCCTCTCTCATCTCCACCCTTTCACTCATCCTCTCCCTCTTCAGTCGCTTACTTCCCCTGTTTCTGCTGTCCTTCCACATCTTCCACTTCCACTGTATCTCTACGTCGCTGCTTTATTCCACCGCTTTATCTGTCTGGATAAAGCTCTCCCTGCTGTGGAGTTTGTTTTTCCCTCTGCTCTGCCTTTATCTTCCGTTCGGATGCCGTGTATGAGCAGCAGCATGGAGGAAGAGAGGGAAACAGCATCCCCATGTCAGGCCAGTGATGGATTAGAATACTAAAATACTCGAGAAAGAAAACAGAGACTAGACGTTCAAATCTGACAGCATGCCTGTGTGTGTGTAGGTGCGCGTGTGTGCGTGTGTGTGTGCTTTTCTGCATGGAAATTCAGTGCGCGCTAATAGAACAATAAAACAGAGCGTTTGTTTTGGAGCACATACACATTCTCCTCCTCTCTGTTCCCCTCTCACCCTGGAGCCTTTCTCTCAGTCTCTCTCTCTCCAAGTTGATTTAACGCTTGACTTCTCTGCTTGTTTATTTCACTACATGTTAATGTAAATCACCAGTGTCCACTCCCTCCGCTCCCATCTACTCTCCCCCCGTCCATCCCTCTTGTCTTCCTGCCCTCCGGGTCTCCACCCGACGACAAAGAGCTGAGACAACAATTAAAATGAACAACAGGCCCCGGTAAAAAGCCATCGCCTCGGTCCCCGTCGGCCATGTCAATCAGACGTGTGCTCCCCCTGCTGATCTCAATTAACCCCCCTACTGGGTGGTGGGAGGTGAGGGAGGGGCTGACCCGGCTATCTTAATCTATGTAAAGAGAGGATGGAGGGCAGAGGGTACAGCAGAGACATAGAAGCTGGACTGTCCAACATCAGACCGTTCACATGGCTGCAGACTCAACAGAGCAGCGTTAGGTCAGTTCAGTTCTGTCACACACCCGGAAACAAAGCATTTCCCACTCCCGAAACTTAAACCATGGAGTTTGACTTTAGTTTTAGGTAATCAGAGGAATTCATAAAAATATATATTATGTTAAGACTCTACTGGTCAAAAACTAATTTTTGACCATAAAATGCAGCCTGACAATTGCCAGAAATAATCGTTATTGGTTTTGGAACTGGTGACTAAATTATGTATTTATATGTTTTATGTTGCTGAAATGTGCTGAACAAATAAACTTGATTGATTGAATGATTGATTGATTGATTGATTGATTGATTGATTGATTGATTGATTGATTGATTGATTGATTGATTGATTGATTGATTGATTGATTGATTGATTGATTGATTGATTGATTCTCATCACCCCTTGGTGCTTCTCCCATTGAGATTAGTTTCTCAAGATGAATTTCATTCGGGCCTTTCAGGGAACAGAAGGAAACATTGTAAATGTTGATTTTCTGCGCTGTTTTAGAATTGCAGTCTGCAGTTTAGGAAGAACAGTAGAGAAAATGAATGAAGCCGTTCAGTCCGCATTCCAAATGTCCAGCGATTAAAAGTAGAGCAACACGAATGCACAGTAATGATTTAAACAGGCAATATTTTCATAAAACCAACATTAGTGTGACATTTGCTGTAATGTTTACAGTTTTTTGGGCCAGTTGTTTTCTGTTTTTTGGTCAATAAAATGCTTTTAGTTCATTTCCAGCAGCAAAAACAGGAATCTTCTTTTTAAGATCTTGACTATGTTCAGCCAGTGTGATGGGTGAATGAGCCCAAGTGTGTTTCTGAGTAAAGAGTAGCAGGATTTTCAGGGTGTCTTTCTATGAATTGAAAAGAGAACAAAAAGAGGACGAAAAAAATCTTTGTGTGGTACTTAACACTTACTTATCTTCCATTTAGACAGATCTAAACTTGCCATGGAAACCTAATTTGAAAACACAGGAGCCGTACAAACTAATTCTTAGGGCCACGCATGGCACCCTAGACCTCATTAGAACTTGCTCTAGTTTGAAGAATTGAGAAAAAATGTATATTCTACATTACATTCATTTTTCTCATTAAGAATTAAATATGCATTATCACATGCTGAAAATGTGCTGAAAACTCTGCATCAGACATGCTGATGTCTGATGCAGAGTTACTAACTATTACACACAATCGGTTTATTTCCCACATGTTCAGTTAAACGCTGTAGACACCATCTGGAGGAAGTGTCAACAGGTTGGGGAGGGGCTGACGCCATGACACGGGCTCCCTCTAAGTAACTAAACACTTAATCTATTATCTGACCACAATGAACCTGTGTGTTTTGTTGCTTGTTTGTTAATTAGAAGTTTTAACCTCCAAATAAACAGCGTTCTCTGCCTCTGAGATCGCAACACAGTTGACACTTTAACAAAGTGAAGGCAAATTCCTGGAGAACTTTGCATTCTGTGGGAAGATTGCTTTCAATGATGGACAAAGTCTTTGTGTGAGGGCCATGTTGGGTCAGAAAGGACCTTCAGGCAGGGTGTGTTGCTCAGCAGCTGAGCCTAACACAGGGCCTGAGCAAGAAGAAAGGAAGGTTAAAGAACCTGACCCCCCTCTCTCATCCTTTCATTCCTTGGCAGTGTTTCCTTCCTGGCTTCACAAAGAAAACTTTTTCTTCCTCTTCGTCTTTGTTGTCGTTCCTCCTCTATTATCCCTTCTCTTCCTCTTCTCCTCACTTCACTTTACTAGCACTTACTTGGGGTTTATTCCTTTTGAAGAACATAAAAAGGGAATAAAATGGCAGAAAATTCTAAAGATGATTCTCCAATTATATAATTTAAAAAAATAATTGTGACATTTGGCCAGGAGTTAGTTGTGCTTTTTTATTTTGATTTCAGAATTCTGCAGTTGCATCTAAGCCATGGTGTTTATAATGGAGATTCACACTCTTTATCCTCAGGGACCAATTTAGTCCTGCTGAAGCCCATTAAAACCACCTGTCATATTCAATAAACTAGAATATAGATTTAAAGTACCTCTTGAAAATAACAACTTTTAACAACATTATCATGTTTTCATTAACTGTAACAGGAAAATCATAATAATTAGTCAAAATGAAAGCTGGGAAACATTCAATTGATAACACTGTGTGCAATCAATTTGTATAATGTCTTATAAGTGATAAAGTTTCTAAAATAAAATGACTTTTCAGTAATATTCTAATTCATTGATGAGCTACTGTAATCATCCCAATGCTCTATTTCTTATATATATATATATATATATATATATATATATATATATATATATATATATATATATATATATATATATATATATATATATATATATATATATATATATATATATATATATAAAAAAAATTCCCTTCTCACCCACCGCGGGTGGTTCTTATCATCTGAGCTCGGGTCCTCTACCAGAGGCCTGGGAGCTTGAGGGTCTGCAGTATCTTGGCTGTGCCAAGGACTGCACACTTCTGTACTGAGATGTCTGATGTTGTTCCTGGGATCTGTTGTAGCCACTGCTCCAGTTTGGGGGTTACTGCCCCGAGGGCCCCGATGACCACAGGCACCACTGTGGTCTTCACCTTCCAGGCCCTCTCCAGTTCTTCCCTGAGGCCCTGGTATTTCTCCAGTTTCTCGTGCTCCTTTTTCCTGATGTTGCAATCACTTGCTATTGCTACATCTACATCTGTCTGTCTGGATCTGGAAGTCCCACAGGATCTTAGCTCTGGTGTTCTCTACCACCTTTGGGGGTGTTTCCCACTTTGATCTCGGGGTCGGAAACCCATATATATATATATATATAGATATATATATATATCTATATATCTATATATATAGATATATATAGATATATATCTATATATCTATATATATCTATATATATAGATATATATATATAAACACCAGAGCAATAGAGGCCCAGATCTACCACACCAGACAAGACCCAAGGTGTAGGTTGTGCAAGGAGGCCCCTGAGACAGTCCAGCACATCACAGCAGGGTGCAAGATACTGGCAGGGAAAGCGTACATGGAGCGACATAACCAAGTGGCTGGCATAGTGTACAGAAACATCTGTGCAGAATATGGACTGGAAACCCCGAGATCAAAGTGGGAAACACCCCCAAAGGTGGTGGAGAACGCCAGAGCTAAGATCCTGTGGGACTTCCAGATCCAGACAGACAAAATGGTAATGGCGAACCAACCAGACATTGTCGTAGTGGATAAACATCAGAGGAAAGCCGTTGTGGTAGATGTAGCAATACCAAGTGATTGCAACATCAGGAAAAAGGAGCACGAGAAACTGGAGAAATACCAGGGCCTCAGGGAAGAACTGGAGAGGGCCTGGAAGGTGAAGACCACAGTGGTGCCTGTGGTCATCGGGGCCCTCGGGCAGTAACCCCCAAACTGGAGCAGTGGCTACAACAGATCCAGGAACAACATCAGACATCTCAGAAATGTGCAGTCCTTGGCACAGCCAAGATACTGCGCAGAACCCTCAAGCTCCCAGGCCTCTGGTAGAGGACCCGAGCTCAGAGGATAAGAACCACCCGCGGTGGGTGAGAAGGGAATTTTTTTTTAATATATATATATATATATATATATATATATATATATATATATATATATATATATATATATATATATATATATATATATATATATATATATATATATATATATATATATATATATATATATATATATATATATATATATATATATATATAATATTAATAATCTGTGTTGTTATGAATTATTGACTGTGTTATTATAGAAATTATCCTGTCATTCCACTTATGACTCCATAAGCATATTGAGGATCTTGCATAGTTTATGTTTTGTATTGAAAAAACTGCGTTGTCATGACAAAAACAAGATAAACATCTATAATAAAATGTTCGTATTATAAACTTTTTTGAGCTTCGATAATGAGAAAATCGTGGACTCAAAGTGAGACAGGAAGTAAATAAATTGAGTTGTTGCATTAGGAGTTCATTCTGCCTCCATTTTCTGTCACATTTTCTTCTAGTTTTGTTCGTTTTTCCTCCTCTCCGGCTGATCATGGGTCATCCTCTGCTTTCTCTATTTATTCGTATCTGTTCTCTTCTGAAACTGTTATATGACCTCACTTCCTTTTTTTGACCTTTTGCAGTTTTTCTCTTTTGTTTTCTCCTGTGTGTCTCGTTCTTCTTGCCTTTTTGTGTCTTTTTCATTTCTAAATGAGTAATAACCTGATTCCATTAGTCTCCACAACCTTAAGCTATGAAGTACCTTTTGATTTAATTTGAATTAATTAGTGAATTAATTAATTTTCTCCATAATTTGCCTTTTCAATTCTTCCTAATAACTAGCTCCATTGTTGTCTCTTATAAGTTTCTGGAGTCTTTCTCATTTCCTTCCACTCTTCCTCTCCTGTTATTCCTCTCCTCTTCCTCACTCCTCTTTCTTGGCCTCCACTGTCACTGCCACCAGTAAGATGGAAGTTAATTTCACACACTCCCCAGGAATAAGGAAAAAGAACAAGAGGGAAAAAAATTATGTCAGCAAAAGATTTATATGACACAGAAAATCAAGAGCCTGCGATTCTCTCTGCTGTTTGTGCTCCAGGGTCCTTTCTGTTCTCACTATAGCACACTGTTTCTAAAACTGCCTGATGTACACCTCCCTCCACCACACACACACACGCACACACACACACTCCTCCCACCCTGCCCCCTCCACAGGAGCCTGTCAGATGATAAAGAGATGTTGTCAGGGACTGATTATCAGCCTCCCAACTAAAAACAAGTAAAACATCAAACACACAAAGACCACACAGGGACTTGGCCTTATTTTTTTTCTTAATTTCTCCTTCATATCTTTCTTTCTCATAGATAGTTTTTTTATTCCAAGTTTTTGTTTTTTTTTTCTTTTTTTTTTTCTTTCTTTTTTTGCCTGCTGGGCATCAATTTGATTTGTTCTGCCATTTTATTTTAGAGCTCATATTGTTTCTTGTGTATTGTTTTTATTATGACGGCTTAATTCATATCGGCGCCTGTAGCGGCCGGGGCCCCGGTCCTGCATCACATGGGAGGACGACGGGGACAGCAATAGAGCAATAAAGCCAGAAAGAGCTGCATCGGCTGAACGTGTGAGGGATGGCGGGGGGACTGTGTGTGCAAATGTGTGTATGCATGTTTTTTTCAGTGCTGACGTGGGTGGGAATGATGAAGTGCTAGAGTCAAATTATAACAAAGGACATTTGCATGTTTGATGCCTGAATGCTCGCGCACAAACACACAGATCACCAGCCTGCTGCCTTACGCTCATCACACATTGAGCGTTTGTCACTCATGCTGGCTGGAGAGTCAAGAGAACTCAGAATATCACTGCAACAGAGTTCATGAGCATTAACCCCCCGTGGCCCCGTCCCTCTCAGTCATGTTTAGGGTGACCCATTCACACTCAGTGGGACCAACAACAGGCTCTGACCGAAGCTGTGGGGTTTCACATGCGACCTCTTATAAACCAGTTTATCTGCATGAGTTTAAACTAGTGGTGGGACTGGATTCAAATTTTTAATGAAGTTAATTCCAGGGTAATTGCATTTTAATTGAAGACTATATACTGACAAAACAGTTAGCATTTCACGTCAGAAACCCCTTTTTGCTGCTAAATTACAGAATAAATAAACATGTGAGCTCAGCAACAAATATATTTATAGTTTTTTTCATTTATTATTTACATTTTCCAATGATCAGATTGTAGCAAAGTGTTATTCTATTCATTTCAGGAACTCCTGATCATTCATGGAGCTTCTATAGAAGCTGACATTAGCGATAGCATCTGCTGTGGCTACATGTATAGCATTGAGAGGCTATTTTAGGATTGAATAGCTTTGTTGAAAGGCTAACTTCTTTTAGCAAAACTTTAACACAACTACAGTCTTTTCCAGCGTCCAATCAGATCGGTTTTTGAAGCAAAAATGAAAACCCCATTGGGCCGGGCAAAGCGTCTCTGTGTTGCTTGTGCGTAGCAGAAACACATGAATACATAGACTACACTCGAAACTTGTGTATGTACAAAACAAAAAGGTCATTTATTGCATCAAAATTCATATCTTATCAATGTAAATAATTAATAAAAATGAACTAATTAAAATACTTATGCAGTGGGACAAATGAATTCTACACTAAAGATATGACAATATTTGATTTTATGAGCTTTCACATGTTTTTTATTCCATTCATTTTGGGATGGACAAAAAAATCTTCTTAGACAGACACCATCAATAGCTCTTCCCATACAATTCAGCTTTCATACAAAAATAAAAATAAATAAATGAAAATCTGAAACTGCTGTGTCTTCTTTGGCCACCGTTACTCTGCCTTACCAGAAACGAAACTGAAATATTTCTATGGCCATACCTATTTGGTTTTTCTTAATTTTTTATAAGAATTTGAAAGTTTTCTCAAAAGTTGCATGACAACTGGATGGAAACATAACTAATGAAACCCAAAAGTCCATCGCTGTAGGGTTTCATTTTCCTGATTCTAGGCTTACAGAAGCACAGGTAAATTAACTCGCCCCACTGCCGTCCTGCTCGGCTCACTGGAATACAGAGGTTCCCATTTTGGAATTAAAAGCCATAATTTTAAGGAATTCAAAAGTGATTTCCCCGAGGCAGACTTCTATATTCTCCTGCATTTGGGGGAGTGGAGAGACAGCTCCACACAAGATTACACCCTGCCTGGTTTTCTAGCTGTAACTAGAATTTAAAACTGAATGATAATTACTTAAATATCAGGGCAAATTTACACAATGTGCTGATTTTAAATAAATTAAATAAATCGCTCCATACTAAACCTTTAAAAACTCTTCTACCCATTTTCAAGCACATGTGCCAAGTTTGCAAATTGCAAAGTGCTGGTGGTAGCCATTTTGTGAACACTTTGCTTTGGCTACTTGCTTACGCATCAGCAGATTTCTGATGTTTAACTTAAGCTAATGGGAAGCAGCCATTCACAGATGGCTGCTTCCCATTGCTTGTTTGAAGTTGGACTGATCCTGTCAGTCCGACTTCAAACAAATCTGTGTCCTCATTTTAAGTACATGTTGAAGTATGCTCACTGGTTATAGGTAGCATGTGGAATACCCTCTGCCCCCAGTGGCTGCAATCAGAGCCAAATAAATCAAAAGTGCCATTTGTCATGTTTGGAGTGAAGAACGAAAACAAAGACAGGAGTCAAGAACAAAGAAGATGCTTCTGACAAAGAAAAGCAAAGTTCATTTCTTCCTACTGTTTCTTGAACTCTTTCAGCAATCAGACCAGTGTTATTTGCAGAACCATTTGATGTGAGTGTGTACATGTACGAGTGTGTATATGTCTGTACATGTATATTCTACATATTGTTCTACCCCCAGCTGTGGGCAGTAGTTAGGAGCAGAAGGAGCAGCAGTACTAGTTTAGTGGGGCTGGCGCTGGGCGCTGCAGCGCCCCCTGCTTCAGATGAGCCCAGGTTGGAGATGGTGGCCCTCTCCGAGTACAAAGGGATCACATCAAACTGGCCACCTTCATCAGCCTCCTCCTCTTCCACCATCTGTGTCAACTCCTCGTCTTCCTCACTCTCGACCACCTGTTGGGATGCATGCAGTTAGTGAGAGCTGCAGCAGCATTTAGCAGCTTCAGTAGATTTACATTATAGTTCTGGGATCAGTTGGGCACGACTGATTTTTACACGTTTGTCTTTTAAACGTGAAAGTACCAAAGCTTGACATTTTATTATACAAAAGTAATATTTCTCTTGATTTGTGTATAATTTTAAATCCAACTTGCCATCAGTGAGTTTTACTCAGTGAGTTGTTTTTTTTTACTCACTATACCGGGGCATGTCCGGTCGGTGAACAGACAAAATGAGCAACAACTGGACAATCCTTGGACAGGGGCAATAAAAGGCCACTCCAAAATGTCTAATTTTGTCATAAGACATAATGTCTCAGATGTCGCAAGGTATGCTGGAGCATGCCATTGGCATATTGGATGCAGGGATGTCCACTAGAGCAGTAGCTGCACAGCTCAATGTCCATAATCAGACCATTGGACATTTAAGAATTTGTTTCCATCTGACTGGCACTATTGCAAATTGACCTCATCCTCGTGTGACCACTCCAGTGTAAGATCACCACATCCGGCTCGTCCATCTCTGGGATTGGTCAAGACCAGCGGCACACACAGCCAATGAGACTATTGGTCTGCACATAGATGCATCACACCTCAGACTGTCTGTAACCAACTATCATGTTCAAAGGACTGTCTATCCACTACAAATGGCCAGACCACGATGATGTCAATGCTCACATGAAGATCAGTAATTACTCAAAATATAGTTTGAGTTCGTCTATATATTGCATAACCCAAATGTTCATAAAATGCTTATATTTGACGTGGGGCATTTATATTTTTGTTCAGTGTACTTGGTAGTTTAGTTCAGTGTTACAAGCATAGTTAGAGTTTGACTAAAGACTGAAATGTTTTATTGACTTCAGATGTTTTGGCGAAAATAAATGTTCCCTTCATTTATTGAAACTGTTGAAACCAAAAGTTTTCATACTCTCAATAAAAAAATAAATAAATGAACACTTTAAAATACATTTGTGACATTTTGTTTATTACTGTGTCATTGTGCAAATAGAAATAAATGTAATAATGCTAACCTAAAATAAGAGGCGTTTGGTCTGATTTAAATTCAAACAGTGAGAAAAGGTGTGTATGTTTTTTTTTAATTTAGTATGTGTAAAAAAAAAAAAAAGCTTTCTATTTCCAATGTGCAGAGTCACGCTCCATGAGTGCTGAACGACATCTATTGTTCTGAAATACTGCACCTCATCAGGCAGGTAGTCATAAAATAACAGACTGAAAGATATTTGGCTGTTATTTCTTGTCCCTCAACTTGACAATATTTCTCTAAATTACTAACTTTGTAAATAGTTGCCTTTGGCACTTTGTAAATAGTTGCCTTTGGCACTTAATAGTTAATAGTTATTCTTAGCCAACCCACATGCATTGCTGTATAACATTCTCTTGCAGGGTAGAAAGGTCACGGTTGTTAGCATGCTATACTCTGTCACAAAAGGAAGGATGTACGTTTGATTATTTGTAAGAGAAGATCCTTTGGCCGACTTCAGAAAGTTTTGTTTGCAGTATGAATTAAATGTGTTCCTTTTGATCACAGTCTTGATGGAAATGAGTCGGTGCAGCATTGAGCCTGTTGTTAGTGTTGGGGATTCCCAGCTGTTTATCCTCAATAACATGCAAAAACATCTGGAGCAGCTCAAGGCGCATGCTAGGTACTGTTAATTATATACCTCTCTGTCATTTTCAGTGAAACACTGCCTTTGTTTCACTCATGGCTGACTTTATGCAGGTTCCATCTCTGACTTGTGTTATTTGTTTAATTATTTTTGCTGTTTAACATCTTGTCAGACAGTTACAGAAGACATAAACAGGCCAGGGAGTTTTGGCTACAGACACACGCCGTGGTTTAGTGTTTCCTCTAAGGCTGTGAACGATGGTAATGCATACGATTAATCTGAATATTTCAAAGCATTAACATTAAATGGCACTCATTAATCGAATGACCGATTCTGAGCTTACAGCCTCCCTCCTGCTGAGGGTTACCAAGTTCAGAGCAGCATGTTATGGACTCAACACATGGGAAACTACAAACGACAGTGAAAGGTGAAAGGTTTTCATGACAACAGACAGCAACAAAAGTAGAATATTTTCAACTTCCTTGTGTTGCTGGGCGCTACCCCGGGTGTAAACATGTACATGTATGAGCTCGGATGATCTCAAGCATGAATCACGCCGGTCGGCCGGCTGGATAAAAACAAACGGCTTTTGCCTCATCACACAAGATCCAGAGGAAACAACATTTCTAGATTAACAATTAAAACAAAATGGCTACCTTTAAACATACCTAAATATAAAAATCTGGAAAACTGAGGATCTCCAGACATGATTGGTTTGAGACAATAAAACATTTTTTTTTTAAATATGCAGACAGCAGGTGGTTTTTGATACAGGCTATGTTGGCAGTTGCCCAGGGTGGCATCAGAAAGGGTTGGGGCACCCAATCACTGAAATGTAATCTGTCATTTGGCTCCTGAACAAGTTTGCTACTACTTGTATGGATGTGTAGCAACAGAAACATCATCATGATTCATAGCACACAGAGTAAGTTTCCTTTGATAGCTGTTCAGTACTGGGAGACGACATTACCAGCTTTCTGCTACAGGAAAAAAATCAGACAATTGTTTGCATTTTAATTTTGTTTTAGGGGGATGTAAGAACCACAAATTAATATTCATATTTCTAGCTGACCACATAAGGGATACTAATTAATAGTGATTAATTGTGATTAATCGTGATTAATCGCAGCACCAGAGTGTGATTAATCTGACAAAACTTATTGACTGACAGAATTAAAAATAAAAATAAAATGTCAGAATTTCCTTCAACTCTTTCAGGAGAAGCCTGAGGCGTCCCCAGGCCAACCCAGAGACACTCCCTCCACCGTGTCCTGGCCCGTCCCCTGGCCCGTCCCCTGGCTCGTCCCCTGGCTCGTCCCCTGGCCTGTCCCCTGGCCTGTCCCCTGTACCTCCTCTGAAACATCTCCTGATGGAGGTGTCCATATATGTAAAACTCTAAATTTAAATTCTAAAATGCAAAATTCTTTTTCTCAGATCAGTAATTCTAATGGGAAGGTTTATCCTGATTTAATGGTAGACATTGAGGAGAATGTGTTTTTTTATACAGCACCTGTCACTATCTGTTTTCTGAAACCATCACAAACATTCTATTCATTGGTTATTGAGTTTCCTGCTCTTTCTTTCCCCTTTTAGAAAGGTAATCTCTAGGACTTCTGAATGGGAAAAAAACTCTAAGAGAAAAGCAATTCTGCAATATTTTGTTTCCTGTCAAAAGGGGGAAACACAAACACACTTATCTGCAAAAGAGACAATTAACAGAGCACTAGTCTTCCCCTACCTTCTCACATTTATCTGTATCCACTATGAAAATGCAGAATTTGAAGCACAGAAAAGTTTAAACTCTTAATTTGAAGCATAAACTTTAAATTCCTGAGAGAGAAAAAAATCCATTCATAAAAAGGACTGAAAGCTTTTCAAAGAGACCAAATGAGGATCTGAGTGACAGACTGATGAGATGAGGACCAGTTATAACCACAGGAGGCTTTAGGAATTTGAAAACAAAATCAAAATGAAAGACAACGGCGAACAAATGCAGGGACTGAAAGTAGGATAAAGGAATTGAGGGAGGAACGAAGGAAGGAAGAGGAAGAGGATTTCAGGGGGAGAAAGAAAAACAGACAGGAAAACAGGCAGGTGACATATGGGTATGAATAAATTCATACTAATGGAGCAGTCCTTCCAACAAACACCTCATCTAATCTGCTCACTGGGAGAGAGACAGAGACACACAGGGATGGGACGAGACGAGAGAGCGAGCGATTGGAGCAAAGTTGGAATTCCCTCCTGTCTGCCGGCCCAGATTATCTCTGGCAGCACGGCACGCCTGGAGCCGGAGAGTCGGGAGCCATGGGAGATTGTGGTCCAGCCAAGGCAGTGGGATCCAGGCCAGTGATTGGATTGGACCGGGTTGGACAATCCGAGCTGGACAAGGGCAGCCAGGAGCCAGGGCTCTCAGACCGTAGGTGTTCCTGCCGCACTTCAGCATGTGTCTGTGCCCACGCCACAGTTTGCACATTAACAGGCTGGCAGACGGAGAGCAAACAGGACTGGAGTGAAAACACCACAGGGCCAGAACTCAGCCATCACACAGAGACTGGTGGAATCTGATTGGCTTTAAAGACAAAGTCAAAGACAATCTCACAATGACTGTTTCTCGGCTAACACGAAATAATCAGTGGGAAAGAAATGAATGGCATCCTGGGATCCTGTGTAAAGTTAATCACAAGTCTCCGGTTTCGTCCAGCAGCAGACTGTGTGCTTGGCAGGTTGAACTGTTGTAAAGTTTACAGGAGGAAGGATTTCTATTTGTTTCATAAATAAAGCCATCACTATTCATAGCTTGTCTGTCCTGATTTTGCCATGAGAGTAACTCAGACATGCTCCCTGAACATCACAAACATTATGTGCAACAAATGATAATGATTTATGATTTTTGAGATAAGCTGGGAGCTTTACAGAAGTGTTAGGTAGAGGAGATGAAGCTTCGGATGGGTTTCTGCTTTAACACACATCAGGTCATAAGTGATAGTGTGTAGAACATTGATTTAGAACATTGATGTAGAACATTGAACAACACTTGAAGATCATTTGATCTTCAAGTGTTGACCATGTTCACACAGCAACTCAGCTCCATTTTTTTTTTCCCCCAAAATTTATTTTCTCTTTCCCTGCAGCCACATTTTCATCTTTTCCCCCACAAAAAATAATCAGATTTGTGTCACTTTCATATGCAGAACTAATTCTATTATGAATCCAATTTTAGATTGAATGGTATGGAATGGAATCTCCTGTCTGCAAACATTTTCACTGAAGAATCTTTCAATTGGTGGTGTTATTGTCTTCTCTTTTTGTTGTGAATGTTTTGTAAACTCTTTGTGCCAGACTTGTCCAGGATTCTCTTGTAAAAGAGACTTTGAGTCTCAGCGGGGTGCTCCTGGTAGAATAAAGGTTAAATAAAAATCAAATACATTCTCAGGTGGCTGTGGTCACTAATCCCCGCAAATACCAGAGCTCCACTATATAGGATTTATAGTCCATGTATTCTGGATTCTACACTCTATAATCCCACCAACATAACTCATTTGAAATGTGAACGTGATTATATACTCACATCATTGTTGAGCTCAGGCAGGCGGTTACTGTTCTGCTGCTCGTCCTTCTGGACCAGTGGAGACGGTCTGGGAGCGGGGAGCTGAGTGGGGTCAGAGGGCAGCAATCCGGGGCTTCCCATCCAGCTGATGGAGTTCCCTGTCCACACACACATCACCACATCACCTCTGAGCAGATGCGGGAAAAGAAAACCCCCAACCTTAGGAGCCTGAAGCTTAGTGGGAACAAAGATCCCGGATCCCGGCTCTTCAGATTCAGGGTTGGAATGAAATCAGAGCAAACATCATGATTAAACGTTAGCTCAGATGGTCAGAGAAGGGAAGTGGGAGTGTTTGCTGCGTTGGGGCTAAGGTCAGTGCCCATGTGCGTGTGTGTGTGTGTGTGTGTGTGTGTGTGTGTGTGTGTGTGGGGGGGGCGTGTGTGTGTGCGTGTGCATACGCGTGCCTGTGTGTGTGTGTTCGCTTTTCCAGCCTGTTATATAGCATCTGAGTGGGTGTGAACCAACATATCTATCTGGCAGGTTTATTGTTGGAGCCAGCATCAACTTGATAAATCAGTTTTATGGGAGGTGTCCTGACGCATTGATCCGGGCTTTAGTGTTCGGACAAACAGCTCAGTGTGTATCGATAAACCCACCTGACAGCCGCTGTGACTGACTGACAGGTGCAGGACTTGGTGTTCCCGCTCGCCTCTCAGAGCCAACAGGCTCCTCGTGGCGGTGAGAGCCTTTCAGATGCTCACACTGGAGCCTGCCGCTGCCATAAAGCTGCAGAGTGCTGCTCACGCTGTGAGAACGGCTGCAGGAGGCAGCCACCCAGCCGCATTCAACTGCCACCGTGTCAGAGTCACTTTTACATTTGCTCTCCTTTGAGCTCTTTCTCTTAGGAAAGACAAATAAATTATGTTTTCTTAGCTCTGAATAGTCAAATCACTGCATTGAAGGAAACATGGTTTTATAGTGAACTATTTTCAAACACGCCTGCAATACCACGCAGAGCGTCATGGGAGACTGAGAAGCATTTAATCATGTGAAATGATTTTCTTCTCCTTTTAGGCTATGTTTCAGCAGAAACACAGGGCAGCTTAAGAAATGCCTTTAACAAAATCAGATCCTCACAGACACAGAGGGCATGTATTGGCAGCTCAGCTGAGAATGTGAAAAAAGCCTTAAAACAAATTCTTATTTTATTTCAGTAGCATAATCTCACACTAAAAAAATGTAGAATTAATTATTTTAACTACATTAATTTAGTGGGAAAAACATGTAAAAAAAATACAGAAGTGTCAAAATATGTACCTCTTTAAATCTCCCAACTTCTATATTAGTCACACCTGAATATTTCAGATCATCCAACACACACTGAGTGGCACAATCCTGGAATTCAGACCGAATGAATGAATGAATGAATGAATGAATGAATGAATGAATGAATGAATGAATGAATGAATGAATGAATGAATGAATAGAAATCAGGTAGAATTCTACAATAAATCTTTGAGGGGGGCCAATACTTTTTTGTAGTAATATTTCTGGTGGAGGACTGATTGTACTATCAGGCATTTTTTAAATAAATGCTATTGAGGCTATATTTTTTTTTCACTCATCTTTTAAAAATGTTCAACAATAACTTTATTTTAAGGATCTTTCTTTAGCAGAATTGTTTAAACACTCAGGAAATTCTCTCAATATAATGGAATAATACCTTCAATATTTACTACTGAAGATATCTGCTGTCTTCAATAGTAGATATAACAAGTTCAAACTGGACTGAGGAAACATTTGATGTGAGATCAGCAATTCAACTGTAAAATACTAGTGTGGTATTATGATGTGTTTGGGTGAGATCTAACAGGAACATGAACCTTTGAAGGGCTCGCTAACAAATCTGGGATGAACAGACAACATCAATCAGCACACAGCGGACTCACGTAGGCAGCTGTTGTGGGTGAAAAGCCGCTGCAGCCGCAGACATTCCTGCCACTGGTTGCCACTGCCTTCACAGTTGCACCACAGCGACACGTCAGCAGAGTTGTTGCTGATGTAGTTGGGAGTCATAATGGTTCCTGCAGGTCAGAATATCAGCTCAGCATCAGTGTCTGCGGATCCCCTGGATGTTTCTCTGAACACGCTGGATTCGATACACATACTGTAATACTGATTGCTTACAATCAAAGAACGGGGACTGTAAGTGTCTGACAGGATGCGAAGAGTTATGTCGGTCTGAAAGCTCTGAGTCCGATCCAGAACTCGTCCATCACCAACAGAGCTGGCAGAAAGCCACTCAACACTCGGCCATCCACATGCGTTTGTCAGCTGTCATCTCTCTTTACACTCTGTCTGGCCTCTCTTTACTTTGCTGCCCTGGCCATCTATCACACACCCATCAACTCTTTGCAGAGATGATGGGTTTTTTCTTCTCGCTATTTTTGCACAAATTCACTTGGCGTTGCAACAAGAATGCCACAGTTATTCTGGGTCAATTAAGCTTTGCTGATTTTTTTGGCTTCATACTTAATCTTGAGTTTTCCAAGTCAGCATTCCCATGAGACAAAGTTTTATTGCTACTAAATCAAACCATTCCATTATAATGAAGCCCATCATTGCCAAGAGAGAAGCGGGCTCTACTTTACCGCATTAGATCGCCTTTATTCAATTCACAACTTGTTCTGTAACAATATATATAAAGACAAGTCTTGCGATATTTGAAAGTTAATGTTGAAATAAACATGCTAATAGCTCAACGTGGATTTCTGCATTCTGACAGATGTCTCGCAACAATTGTACACATCACAGCTGCTTCACTCATTGTGATGCTTTCATCAAGAGAAACATCCTGCTGGGTAAAATACTCCTGGACTGAGGCTGATTAACTAAGCAAGCAAATAATCACATAAAACATAAATTATTAGGAAAAATAATCCTAATCAAGCAAACCTTCCATAAATTTAAGTGTTTATAATTTTAAAAGAAAACTAAACTCTCAAGATTAACTTAATACAATTTGGAATAAAGCTGTAACATATAATGTCAACACTTCCAATATGGCAGACTGGGGGAGCGGCTGGCCAGCACATGTCACGACATTTCTGTAAACTGTTCATATCAATAGTGAACGTGTCAGTTTTCTTTCTCAGTTTAACCTTTATCAGAAAGGCTGAGAAAAGACAATCAGCCTTTCTGTCATCACTGCATTAGCAGATGATCAGCCATGATCAGTGGGATGGGAGCAGCCACAGCGTTGGCCTGGCACTTCCTCCACTTTACTTTGAGAGCATGGGAAATGTTAAACACAGACTTTTATTTTTACTGATATGTGTGTGGTTTGTTGACATACGCACGTTATATTAGCTAAGAATGTTTTTTTTTTTTCGTTTTTTTTTTTTTTTTTTTTTTTCAAAACTAACTTCATACATATACAGGGCCTGATTGTCACTGGGTGAGAATCAGAGTTATCAAAATATAATTTTATTCTCTTTATTAGCAGCTGAGAATAAAAGAGTTGATATTGCAGTGGCTTAATGTGACTTTTTTAAAATACAAAAGAATAAGAAGAACTTGCTAAGAAGAGTTTTAAAAGACTGAACCTGGACTTTTAGAAAAGTAAGTGTCCGGTTTTCTCTCTGTGGTTTTTTGGCTTGAAAATCTTCTACTAAGGCCAAGCAACAACATGAACATGTGATGTGTGCTCTCTTTGTCGGTACCTATAAGGCCAGCATAGGCTCGGAGGCAGAGGCCTGTTGAGTCTTTCAAACATCCACTGGCTGTCAGATGAGATGGTTGGCAGTTACTGAGGAAATCAGCAAGCCTGGACCTGGCAAAAACACAAACAGCTCGACATCAAATGGAAAAAGTGGGCAGAAAATTTAGGTGAATGATTTTAGGTGTGCCTGAATTTGGGTTAGACAGAAAAGTGTTTTTAGTTCAGTAACATTTTTCTCCACAGAGTGACAGATTCTTGTTTATGTCCAAATTAATGTGTCTCCTTTCATTTCTGTGTTTACAGAACCGTTTCTCTCTCATGTCAGGTGGAGGCGGCAGCAGCAGTGCAGGGGCAGATGCTGTTTTGAAAGCTGATGTCAGCTACTACACTTAAAGTTTGTCCAGAGTGAAAAAAATGGAAAATATCTGTGACATTTATAATATCACCATCATCTTTGAAGGAAACATTGTGTTGAGCTCATATTCCTAAAAACTGACAAATAAAAAAAAACATCTGCCCTCTTTACCAGCAACTAGAAAAATGTAATAATTGTCCACACTCTTAGAAAAACCCTAAAAAGTACGTTCACTGTCATTGGTAATGTTAAACTACCATTTAGTTAGTCGAATGTCTAACCTGCACAGGTCGTCTCGGCGACAGAAGCTCTGCTGGTGGAGGCAGTTAGGCTGCAGACTCTCTGCATCCTGGTAGGAGCAGGAGGGTACAATGGTTTTTCTCCTCCTCTCTCCACACAGGGTGTTGGTGCAGGGGCAGAATAGGACGCCGAGGCTGTATTCCTCTGGTACTCGCTCCAGGAAGCGTCTGAGGGCCCGGTGGCACTTGTACTGGTTGCATCGGCTGGTGTTGGGTATTGGCTTTGTGCAGGCCAACACATATTCTGATCGAAGAGCACCGCACTTCTCATACAAGCCGCAATCCTGAGCTGCTTTCAGGCACTGGTTCTCACCATCCAGCTGCATGAAGGACGAACCTAGAGGGGTGAACATGGAGAGAATGGGACAACAGCCAGCAACTAAATATAATTCAAAAAATGATATGATATTCTGTATTGTATATCCTGCTTCTCCATTGTAGCCTGTTTGCTTTGGATGTAGAATAACATTTTCGATACATATTTACCAAATGAGTCTCATTGTATTTAAACTTAATTGAATTGTGCTGCATAAACTTAATTATTGTTTAGATTTAGCTGTTTCCAGATACACATTATGTTGGGCTGTGGTTGCCACGAAATAAATTTTGTGTTAACTTGTACTAGATGTATACCTTTACAGTACTGTTGCAGTTGTTATTAATATATATGCATGTCATCTGTTGCTATGGTTTCTCAGTTTTGTTTGTTTTTCTTTATTTGCTCTCTTTCTAATGGTGTAGGAACAGACTTCTTAGCTTTTCAGTTGTATTCGCTATATCATGATTCAAAAACGTTTACACATAAAAATCTTAAAAGTGCGGTGTGCAAAAGAATTCAGACATCTTTTTTCTGAGTGCAACTAATTCCTGTCAGATGTTACCTGAGAACTGCTAAGCAATCAATCAATTAAGTTTGTTTGTGAAGTACATTTCAGCAACAAGGCAGTGCAAAGTGCCATACATCATAAAAAACACAAAAATACAAAGTTATAAAAGCTGCCTGGTCAGCTCTTCCCCAGAAATCTGGGCTGCCCTTGGTCACTCTGCCGGAACAACTGGGCCGTCCAACAATTGAGAAAACCAAAAACAAACAATACATTTTTGTTAATGACATTATAAAAATCATCAATTCACATTAAATGCATCAATCGATGTTTCATTTATTATGAATCAGAAGCAACTCTAACCAGCTGGGTTTTCAGTCTAGATTTAAAGGAACTCAGTGTTTCAGCTGGTTTTCAGTTTTCTGGAAGTTTGTTCCAGATTTGTGCTGCATAGAAGTTGAATGCTGCTTCTCCATGTTTGGTTCTGGTTCTGGATGCAGAGCAGAACCAGAACCAGAAGACCTGTGGGGTCTGGAAGGTTGATACATCATCAGCAGATCTTTAATGTATTGTGGTGCTAATTATAAACTAACAACAGTATTTCAAAGTCTATTCTCTCAGTGAAGGACAGTAGAACTGGTTCATGTTCTCTGTATTCCTGGTTTTAGTCAGAACACCATCAGCAGCGTTCTGGATCAGCTTCAGCTGGAAGATTGATGTTTTAGTCAGAACCTGTTGCAGTAATCAATGCGACTAAATAAACACATGGAGGAGTTTCTCTAGATCTCACTGACTTTAGCCTTTAAATCCTGGGGATGTTCTTCAGGTGATAGAAGGCTGACCTTGTAACTGCCTTTATGTGGCTCTGAAGGTTCAGGTCAGAGGTCATCACTGCTCCCAGATTTCAGCCTGATCTCTAGTTTCCAGCTGTAATACCTGAAGCTGTGTGTTGACTTGTTTCTGATGACTGCTTTTAGTTAAGCTTTATATATTTCACTCCATATATAGAAAGTGGGCATCTTACCGGACACTAAAGAGGCCATGCGAGAGTCAATCATGGAGTCATCATAAGGTGATATTTCCAGTTCCTCCCTTCCTGTGGAAAAAGGAGGAAAAATCAAAAATTAGCAAAATGAGGATCTAAATTCAGCAAGAATAGAAGCAGGTTGGAAGGAATAAAAGTAGACTTAGACTTAGACTTGTACTTTATTGATCTCTTGGGAAGACTCCCTCAGGAAATTGAAGTTACCAGCAGCTTACAAGCAGAAAAGTGGCACACAGTGCGCAAAATACAAAAGAATACAAAAAATACAAATTAAATACAAAGGTACACACTAAACCTTAAATTAAGCAAAAATAAGCAAGTAATAAGAATATAAATAAAATATAAATAAAAAGTATAAATACAACACAAAAGAAAATATAGGAATTTGGCAGATAGGTTGACCAGTGATATGGTATTGCACTATATGGTTTGGCCTGATAAGGACAATTAATGGAGAAAACTGACGTAAAACAGAAAAAGCATCAGTTCACCCATATACACATCCAAAGTGCCCCATTATGAATTAGAACAACATTTAGTCTGCCAACCACAGAACCACAGTCAAACCAAAACAAGTATGTTGCTACTTTAAATCAACTGGAAACAAAGAAAAAATTATTTAATTCATTCATCCATCCATCCATCGTCCGTCCGTCCGTCAGTCCGTCCATCCATCCATCCATCCATCCATCCATCCATCCATCCATCCATCCATCCATCCATCCATCCATCCATCCATCCATCCATCCATCCATCCATCCATCCCACAGAAGAAGCTCAAGTCAGTTGATTGAGTCCATTATCTTTATTTAGGACCATAGATAAGGTCAGAATGTAGATATAAAAGCAAATTACGAGCTTTCCATTTAAATTCTCATTCTTCTTCACTGCAGGACGGCGTTTCAGATGAGGTCAAAATATTCAATAAAAATCATCTGAGAAAATATTGAAACTTCAGTCAGAAAAGTCTCCCCAAGTTCCCAGCCTGAGTCGTTCTTATAATTCACATGGACCACTGTCATAGAAAAGCCCAGAAATTACACCTATAGAACATAATGAATTTCACCAAAATTCAACAAAGGCATAGGCTAAAAATAATTCTGAGTTTTATGATTAATTAAAATGATCTGAACCCAATGGAAAACCAACTCAGAATATAAAGAAAGCCTAAAATTTACTCAAATACGTAATCTGTCACGGATCATTGATAGGATGTCAGACATAGCTGTACTTGGCTTAACTCTATTCTGCTCTGTCACCAAAATAAACGACCCTGAGATTTATTTAATTAGATCTGCAAATTAAGCAGGACTGTGTATTTTCCAACAGCTCTCTGCTGAACATGTTCTTCCCTGGAGCTAATTGGGAGAACAAAGACCTCCGTCTGCATTTCCTACAGAGCAGAGAGCTCCCCAAAGCTAGAAACATCCAAAGTGAAAAATGCTACTCACTGACTTGGTTTTATGAGTTCCTCATCATAATTTTGTACAGGTGGCAAAGAGTAATCACTGGTGTAGATAAACAGACATCCACTGTGCTGGCTTTGATGAATTGCTCACCTCTAAATGTTCCCTCCTGACATACTTTACAGATATAACTCCTGCACCATAGCTCCATTCAGTCCTTTATATTGTAATGTCTACTGACCAAGTAAATGCTGACCAAGTGGAATACATGAGAAGGTGACACTGAAATCACTACATTCAGATTCAGAGAGCAGATACTGACTTTACAAGTGTTGAGTATTTCTTCAATATTGGTAGCCTCATCTGACACATCTGACTTAACACAGGCAAAGGAATGTATGGACAGATGTCCATATATGTCAGTGTAGAAGAGCCTTACTGTCATGAACATTTTTGTTTCCTGCTTCAGTCTTGGCCTCATTCTAGTCATCAACATCTACTGCCCCAAATGTTGGGATCTTCATTACATCACTTCTGTCAGCTGGGCCTCGGGGATCTCCCTCATACAGTACTTTCTTTAAAGCAAGCCTCCTTATGCACCTCGCCATTCAGCCAATGACTGCTGGCGATAGAAATCGGCCCCCGGCAACCTGTAAGGATAAGCAGTAAATACAGTGGATGGACATTGTTTTTCCCTCTCTGCTCTTGGTTGGATTTGTGGTCATTCTGGGCAGCTGTGTGTTTGAATGTGTTTTATTACCAGGCACAAATTGCCTGGTAATAATTTAGGTCAGTTCTGCCCCAGAAATCTGGGCTGCCCTTGGTCACTCTGCCGGAACAACTGGGCCAACCTTTGTTTCTACTCAAAAACTGACCATGGTCATTTTTTGATTAAAATAGCACATAATACTATTCAAACTCCTATCCATACAAACATCCATTATATCAATGAATTCTCTACACTGGTACTTTTCCTTCAATGCCTCACTCTTCAAAAGGTTTCTGTCAGGAATGCATCAAAACAACCTAGAACATTGTTGTTCTTGTTTGCTCCCAGTGAGCATACAGCCTGGATGACAGGAAAACAGCATATGCAAAAGAGAGACATGGAGGAACAGAATTACACAGTGCTGTTGTGGTTTAGAGCCAGATCAACACTTCTGCCTCTTAATGTAATAGAACATTCTGTACAAAGGAATGAACACAAAAGTCTCAGCAAATTGTATAACTTTATGAGAGCCAATCTTCAAGTTGACAGGTAGAGAAAATAAGATGTCTACCATATGAAGACAATTTCTACTGACAAATATTTAAACTGACCAGGAGTATATTTCAGCAGATAACAGGAAGGCTGAAGATATTCCAGCAAATTTGCTGTTTTATTCCTTTGAGCTTTGAAACTCATTTGACATAAAACATTCTGGATTTGGAAAAGCATAGCCTGGTAAAAACTCGTGTCATACAGAAGGTCTGTGCACTTAGCAATGGAGAAACCATTGGTTGCTTGAGGTGTGGATTCTGAATTTTTGAATGACTGGATCTGGTTTTACCCAGCCACTAACATTTGCCTCGTGATGTAGGTAATGTACCAGCTCAAACATTAAGGATGCTACGATTTGAAGCTTACCAGAGGTTGCATACGCTGTAACCACCAAACTTTTATCTACAAACATGTTTTTTGTAGAAGTTACATACTGCAGTTTTAAGATTTATTTGTTGATCCCAGTAAGAAAAAAAAGAGGCATGAAAGGAAACAAAAGCACAGTCACCCTGATAGTCAATCTTCAGATTCCAGAAGACTGTTTATGCTAAATGTTTTGTACTAATCCAGTAACAGACACCATTTGTAAGAAGACTTAAAATTAATTAACAAACATGCTAAATTGTCTCAATAGAGAATGTTAGGAAAAACACAAATAGCCAGTGTCAATTCACTGTTTATTACAAATCTATATAATTCAGTAGAACAAATTAAATATATAAATTCAGAAGGAAAATGCTAACTAATCATAATCTGGCAACTTCTTTCCAATTGTGAATCCCATTAGCAGAGCCTCGATGGGCCGCTGGACAGGCTGTATTGTCCTGCAAATTATTTAAACACAATTCAAAGAACAAACTCAATCAAGAATCCAATGGCATGTAAAATGTTTATGTATGTAAATCCTATTCCCGGCCATATATTTATGGTAATGAAATGCTGGAGCGACCTAGCAGCACTGGGAACTGAAGAGTGTGTAATTACACTAATGCTCCACTGACTAATAGGCCACAGGGGAAGAGGAGTCCGCCGGCTAGAGTTAGCTCACTTACTAATGCACACAATACAGCAGCACTTCAGATGTGCTGGTGAGCCTCTGCTCTGAGCGGAGGCTTTTCATCAGACGACACTGGAATGTATGGCCATCTCAGGATGTTTAGGGTCAAAAGAGAAGACTGTTAGCAGACAAAATGAGAAATATATGGAAAATAAACTGACATAAGGCCATGTCAGGTTGTGAGTAGGAAAGCAAATAAACATGAAAGCTTCTCATACTGATTCCTCTGACTGAGCCACAGGTCAGGAAGTTCATACCACTAAGATATATTTGCAAATGTACAAAACATCAGACTCAGAGGTCACGCAGACCAGTGAAAGACTTTCCCTTCCCCTCCTACTTTTTATGAACTTTCAAAAGTAAAGACCCTTGTAATGGTTAGGGTTGGGATTGCTTTGTAGAGGTAAAGTGATGGACTCTGTGAAGTCTGGGTATATTGATCTTGTTTCAGTTGAAAGTTTCTTCCTGTTAAAAGAGTCATTGATCTCCAGAGATGCTTGCTGCCCAGAGTTCAGAATGACAGACTGCAAAAATGTAAAGATCTTTGCTTTCCTTAGACTGATCACATTTCACTAGAGTGGCATCTTAATATCCTACAAATCAAATTATTAGGTTATGGTCAATAGCTCAATGCACCATCGCTCTCACTTTTACAATAAAACAGTCCTGATCTGCTAGAGTTGAACATTCTCCTCAGTCATGTCTGAGGTGCTGCAAGCAGTCAGTTCTTAAAACTTTAAGACCCATTTCACAACTGTGAAATGGATCAGTTTGACTGATATGGGAGAAATTTGGAGGTTAAGTTAATGTCCCGATGAATTTGTTGACTTCCAGAAACAACTTTTGTTTCACTACAGCTACTCCTCTTAGGACTGTTTCTATGGGAGAGTTTAACTGCAATAGGAATGGTTTAAGGAAATATAAAGATTAAGCAGTGTCAAGATGTCATCTACATGAACGACGGAAACCACTGATTCTGAGCACAAAAACACCAAAGCCTTAACTTATATTGTTTTCATAGGATCCAGCTGTCATGTCTTCCATGGATCAGTGATGCACAACCAGCCGCTGCACAGATCCAAGGACACATTATCTGATGAAATCATTTTCTTTTGTTTGAATTGACAGGAATGTCAAATGTTCTTGTCAACATTAGAGGTACCTAAGAGGTGCATAAGGTACCTCTTATGTACTGTTGTACATAAGAGGTGGATCCTCTGTGGCTGGTTGGGACAATGTGCTTATCTTTCCTGAACACCAAGCACTACCACGGTTCGATGTCTGAAGACAAGTTGGTATGGTTTGCTTTCAGGGGGGAGAATTTGAGAATGTCAGCCTTCCCAGGGTGAGACAGGGGAGCTGGATCCATCCATCCATCCATCCATCCATCCATCCATCCTACAACCTCATCCCTACTAGGATAGTGAAGGGTCCTGGTGCCTATTGGTCGAGAGACGGGGTCACCCTGGACAGGTCGCATGTCCATCACAGGACCCTTGGCGGCTTCAAAAAGCTTATAGCTTATAAACTATTTGCTTGTTTGTGTTCCTGCTCCTACAGCTTGGAGTCCTTTAGATAAAATATCGGAGAAAGTTCTGAAATAGATTCCTCTCCTGCTTCGGCTCACACTTCTTTTGAGAGGCAGAAGCACAGCTGGCTCCTTGGAAAGTTCTGGACTGGGAACTAAAAGCTGCCAGTGACTGAAAGAAAGGTAATGCTCTTTTGAAAGCAAAGATGTCTAATTAACCAGGTCTGGCTAATTAGCCTGCTAATATTAGCGTTCAGTGTTACTCCATGAGAAGCAGAAAAAGATGCAGACTGTCCTGATGAATTTGTTGACTTCCAGAAACAACTTTTGTTTCACTATAGATACTCCTCTAAGGACTGTTTCTATGGGAGAGATAACTGCCATAGGAATATAAAGATTAAGCAGTGACAAGATGTCATCTACATGAATGACGGAAACCACTGATTCTGAGCACAAAAACACCAAAGCCTTAACTTATATTGTTTTCATAGGATCCAGCTGTCATGTGTTCCATGGATCAGTGATGCATAGTCTTTGCATCTACTTGTTTCTACTACTGCTCTTTTATACTATACAGTACTCTTCAGTTCACTCTGTATATTTATTTAAGAATCTTTTTTAATGTCCTTAAAACACTCTTAGACTGGTTGATTATTTAATTACCCTATGGGATCAATAAAGTATTTTGTAATTGATTGATTTGGGTAAGCTTTCACGTTGGTGTCATTGATGAAACAAATATGTATTAGCTAAATTACTCATCCTAATTTATGTGTGTGTACATAAATTAGGATGAACACAGATGCAAATTAGCCTATGATACAATCTGGTACAGTGGACCAAATGGTGACATTTCTGGTGGAACTGTATATTGTCCCTTTCAAATACAGTTATATTTAGAAATATTATTATTATTCTGCGTCACTAAATCACTGCAGCTCCAGCAGGGATCTGTCTTACCTGGCAGGAGGCGAACCCTCCAGTATATGCGGAGGCACCGCTCCTCCTTCCTGAAGCCACGCTGGCACTTGCAGGCCAGAAGTGATGGGTGTTTGGCCAACAGGGCGTCCTGTCTCTCCAGGCACTCAGATGCTTCTTGCTCCCCTAGCGGTGCGACTGCCGCATCGACCGCGCACAGCTCCAAGCCTCGGTACAGCGCCTCACACTGCGGGTCAGTGGAGCACACACGGTGAGCTTCAACACAGTCGGTCACTGGAGCTGAGAAGGGGAATATCTGGGATGTGGAAAGTATCACACCTGAGAAACAGAAAAAAAGGAAAATATTACAATAGTAATTGAAAAATGGAGCAGTAAATATCAACAAAAAGGTCTTGAAAAGGTAGAGCCATCAAACTCACATTCAGTGAGCTGCTGTATGACAAACAAACATGACATCTAACCTTTGTCTTATAACAGCAAGAAAGTCGTTGTTGGAAGACGGACATCAGAGGTCCTGTTTGCAGTTTACCATAAAGTGGACACAGAAAACATGGAAAAACTTGAGCTGCCCTAAAAGGAACTTTTTAACCAACATGGAGGGGAAAACTCACAGTGCATCTCCACGGACACACTGTCATCACTGTAAGATGTGGCAATGTTGAACTTCAGACGACAATCCTGGAAGGAAGACAGCTAGAGGCTTATAACCTGAGTCTGGTGTTGAAGATCAGCTTCCAGAAGAGCAACAAACCCAGACATGCAGGTCATGGATGCAGGGATGTACTGACAGGAACATTTGAGCCGATATCAATATAAAATATTATCCTTCTGGTCAACAACTGATGTTTACAGACGTTGTTCATATGTGATATCTGACACTTAAAAAAAAAACAATCACCACTGCTTATCTGCTTCTGTTAAAACTCCCACAATTCTTTGGTGCATCACTATCAAACAAATACCATATGACCAGAAACAAATGGCAGCAAGATGGAAATAAATAGTATGTCTTTTATTCATGGGGCTAAAACTGAGATGTTAAAAAAAAAGACTAATATCATCTGATACCGACATTGGTGCAGACATATTGTGCATCTCTAAATGTGTTGGAGTGGCTCAGTCAGAATAGATCTGCCAGCAATAGGTAGTCTAAAACACGAGTTAATCTGTTCATAAAATGCATATTTTCTCATTCCAAAATGTTAAGAACAGACAGTTCTTTTTCTGAGAGACTAATTAACCTCACAGTCATGTTTTTGGACTGTGGGAGGCAGCCAGAGTACCCAGAGAGAACCCAGCATGCACAAGGAGAACATGCTAACTCCAAATAGAGAGAACCCAGGCCAGGACTTGAACCCAGAGACCTTCTTGCTGCAAGCCAACAACCAGGGCCACCGTGCAGCCCTGGTTGTGTTTTATTTTTGCTTTATCAGGTTTCCCCTGCTAGTAGAGTCTATGCAAAGGCTGGGCCACTCAGCTGGTGATTGATGGATTCTCCTCCTTTCAAAGGTCAGCAGTGTCAACATCAATTGCTTCTTGTAGTTAACTGTGAAAGTGACACCAGCCACCCTAATTCAATTGAAAAAAAGAAGCAGAGGACTCTGTTGTAAACACCAGCTTACAGCAAAACTATTTAACCCTAGGAGCAGCAGTCAAACATCAAACATTTCTGATAGTTTCATGTTCACCCTTTCACCTGCAGATCTCACAATCATATAAATGTTTGGTTTTAGTCCCTCACCTAGCCTCCTGTCACACATCTTCATCCTCAACTTCACAGAGCATCGTCCTCGTCACCATCTCCTCCAGGCTGTTGTTTTGGATGGACATAGATCATCCACCTTCATCCCCTCAGTCCTCCACCTGTCTGTAATCCACGTGCAGCTGTTCTGTCTTAACTCCATTGTGATTTTTTCATACCTCTGTATCTTCAGCCTCTCTTCCATCTGACTCCAGTTCCATTCCTCTGTTTCACACACATCTCATCACCTCAGTGTCCTTGTGCAAGTCATGCAATAATGTTCTATCATTTACTTTCTGTAGTTGTAAAAAGACAAAGGGCAGCTGAGAAAATTTCTCCATCATCACTCTCAAAGCAAACATTGCAAGCAGGTTTTGCACCTCTTCTCACTTTCCAAAGCTCTCAAAATGTGGCATGAAAAACAAACATCAAAGTAAAATCTAGGGAAAACTTTTTTCATCATAACTGTGGGTTGAATAATTTTTCTCTCTACAAATAAAATGTGTCAAGTCATGGCAAATGGAGGAAAACTATTTTTTCCAAATATAAAATTTAAAATAACTTGTCCTATAAACAATAAAAAAATAACCTTTTATGGATAGAATCTTCTATAAAAATGGACAAAATATGTGTTAGAACCCCTTAATTTATTTATTTATTTTTTTAAATGGAGCAAACTGTGTGAAGCCTGTAAAACATATTATGTTGTGGGAGAGAAGGTAAATGTGGTCTGAAGGTAAACATTTCTCTTCCATGGAGGGCAAATTGTTTGTCTCCTGGTGGGACAGAGTCGCAAGACACATGACAAAAAACAACTTTAACATGCTGTGATATAAACTACTGCCTGATATACAACAATCGCATCAAAATGTCTAAAGTCTGTGTCCTGTATGGCTGTTCCAACAACTATTTTAATAGAGAGAAAGGTAAACGTTATTTTCATGTTTCAAAGGTAGTTAGTCACAGGGGAGTTAATTAAAAAAAAAATTACAGAAAAAAGAGGAGAAAAGTGGATCAACAATCGAGAGCTATAAACAGGAAGTGCAGAAACTCACAATGCCAGAGTTTGCTGCGCCACTTTCTAACAGGTAATGATCGCATCGTTTAAATTGTATTTTCAGACACTTTATGGGAGAGTTGCTTAGAAATACAAGCATTTATATATAAGGTTGTCCATAGAAACAATTTGACCTGTTAACCTGGAAAATGAATTCAGGAGCCATATCTTGGTTTTCCAAAACACTTTCAAAATAAAACAAATTGTAAAACTGATGGAAGAGAGAAACATTCTCCTTAAAACAAGATAAGTTTTATTTCTTGCTATTACAAGAAATTTTTATGTTTCAACAAGATGCAAAACTTCTTTTCACAAGATATAAATTTCACTCCTCTGACACTTTCTGACTTGTTAGAAGCTAGTCTTGCTCCTTCTTCCTACATTGTTTCTTTAGATGATGTAAAAATCCCAAGACGTGTTGATGGTTTACTGTTACAACCTTTCTCGTTTAAAAGAGAAGATATTTTGATTTTAATGAGATATAAATCTCATCATTACAATTTATTTATTCTATTTTTTTTTATTTTAAAGAAAACATTTTCTCATTTAACCCCTGTAACTGCAAAATTTTAAACATGGCTCCTGAATTTATTTCCAATCTCTGGCAGTAAAATGTTTCCGTACATTAATAAGTGTAAAAAAAGGACCAAAGAATCATTTCCAAGACTTCTGACCTTGTTGACTCCACATGTGCAGCTCAGCTGCTGCATGCCACATGTCAGGGCTCAAAGCGCAGGGCTCCTTTTGGCTTCTACAAATTGGGATTTTACATTTTGCCAAACATTAATGACTCCAAATTTATTTAAAGATTTTATATTGTATTCATCCAGATGGATGAATTCAGAGTTCATCCATCTGGAATGGTGTGTTCCCTACTATATGGCTGTCTTTATTAGAAATATTAAACACGAGGAGGCTCTCTTCTAAAGATTCAATATGTGGCAAAAAATGTCATCTGGGAGGCAGAAATTGAGAAATAGAAAGATAGATGGAGAGAGAGAGAGAGACAGACAGAGAGAGAGAGAAAGAGACAGCGAGAAGTACTGCAGGAGAAAGCAGAAGAAAACCACAGTACCAATGTGAACCTTGATGGGTTGGACGCGCGCGCAGCATGAAGCACAATCAGCATGCACCGCCGAAAATGATGTTCTTACACTCGCACTGAAATGTGCACACATTCACACCCAAACACACACATGCAGTGGCAAAATAACAACACAGAGACGTCGCACACACAGCTACCCTGAGAAGGACCCTTTTATGTGCTTGTCCTGCTGGGAGGGAGACTAGGAAGCACAGAACCCATCATTATTACCAGAACACAATACTGCACAACCACAGGGGAAGGGGCAGAGGGGGCGAAGCAATCTGTCTAAGACACACACCCGCACACACATGCGTCCACGCACACATCTCAGTGTCAGAATAAAGTGGCTGAGGGAGCATAAACAGCTAAACATTCAGTGCCGGATCAGTAGACAGTATGTAAATTGAATACTGAGTGTGCTGATGAAAGACTAACCACACACATAAAACATTGTAGGTTGAACAAACAGCCTTTGTGCAGCAATGCATCCTGACACTCCACCGCAGCTCAGTTTGCGGACCCTCAGTAGAACGTGCTCGGTGCCGACGGCTTGACTCTGAGCCGCTCTCTGACCAGAGGCGGTCCCGACTCCCCGCAGCAGCACATGGTCACACTTCTGCAGAACGTTCACTCATTTCTATCGGCGGTGTAAAGGAAACACAGCACTGATGTCCATGTCACACACTTCAAGCTGGGAGCCTTTCCAGAACGCACGCACACACACACCCACACACACACAGCAGACAGACTCTGATTGAGACACTTTTGCTCAGTTTAAGCTTTGCTGGGATGAGAATTAGAACAGATTTAAGCCTGGAAGCAACTAGTTACAAATGTCTGCAGTGCAGGTTAGAATTATGGAAGTAAATGACATATTAATTTGGGGTTTTCATATACTTCTATGATCTGTTCTTGTTTCATTATAATGTCACCATATGACATAGAACTTTGATGATTTGTTCAAAGCTAAAATTTTAACCTGCACATGGTCAAATACATGCATACTGCCCACATAAAGTCTGACTGAATAAGTGGTATCTCATGTAAACACTTTTTGTATGAACTTTTGGTATCTCATGTAAACACTTTGAGCCCTGCATGTTTTAGTTCTCCCCCTGGTTTAACACACCTGGATCAAATGATGACTCGTTAGAGGCCTAAAAAACATTGACCTGCTGAGGAGGTCAAACACCAGGGAGAGAACTGAAACATCCAGGGGGCCCAAGGGCCCCTGGATGTCTAATGAACAACCACTGTGGTAAAGAGAAAAACACAACTACTCATCTTATTTGGTTTGATATTACTCAGCAGCAGGAACCGAACACATTGATGAAAACTATACACTATTTTTTTATTTATTGTTTCACTGCGAGGTAAATCCAAGCACAATCCAACCTGCATTGAGTTTCCCACATAGCAGATTTCTTACATTT